GTAAAAAATTATGATTTAAATTATTGTTTTTTCTCAACAGAGATTAATTCGTTAAATAATTTAGTAAAATCATTCTGTGAAGTTGAAGAAGTAACTGAAACTAAACCTATAGTTAATTCTGAATTAAATTACTGCAATGAACTTTTTGAAAACTCATTTTACCAACATGCGGATGGAAGATATGTGGTTAAAATGCCATTCAAGCCAGATATTGGTGAAAATATACAATTAGGGGATTCAAAGGAAATCGCTGAAAAAAGAGTGAATCAATTGTGGAAACGTTTGTCAAGTGATTCTGTAATGAAAAAACTTTATGTTTCATTAAGGGAATATGAATCATTAAATCATATGGAAAAGATGGAAGACTATTCTGAAACTGAAGGAGGATATTTTCTTCCTCATCATGGCGTGCTGAAACCTGATAGTAAAACAACAAAAATTATGCGTCATGTTCGAGGTGAGTGCCAAAACTACTAACAGTTGTTCATTGAACGACATATTATGTAAAGGTGGAATGATTCAAGAGGAACTTTTTTCCATCATGATACGGTTTAGAAAACACATTTATGCATTTACTGCCGATATTTAGATGTTTCGAAAAATTGAAATATTGCCATCACAGACTAAATATCAAAAAAATACTTTGGAAGGAAGATGAAGATAAGCCTATAGAAATATACAGACTCAAAAGGGTAACTTATGACACAGCATATGCTCCATATTTGGCACAAAGGACTCTTCAACAGTTAGCAAAGGATGAAGAAAAGGATTTTCCTGTAGCATCGAAAGTGGTTTTGGAAGATTTCTATGTAGACAACGGTCTTACTGGATCTTCGAATTTGAAGGAATGCATTAAACTCCAGAAAGATTTGACAGAATTGCTCCAAAGAGGAGAAATGAAGCTACAAAGAGGAGGAATGAAGTGGTGTACTAGTTTTGATTCGCAGAACTCTTGATTTACAGAATTTTTCATTTGATCATAAAAGTAATGCAACTGTGAAGACATTAGGTATGTGGTGGAATAATAAGAAGGATACATTGCACTATAAAGATACTGTTAATGAAAAGCCTGATGTTACGAAAACATGTTTTATCTCAAATAGCGAGATTATATGATCCTTTAAGCCTACTCGGTCCTATTATTAGCAAGGCAAAGACATTCATGCAATCACTTTGGTTGCTTAAGCTAGACTGGGCGGATCAGTTACCACCACCTCTTGCCAATGAATGGAATTTGTTCATTAAAACTCTTCATAGTATAGAAAATATACAAGTATTTCGTTGCATCTTCAAAGAGACTTTTTCAATGCTCATTTTACAAGGATTTGCGGATGCCTCCGAGAAGGCATTTGGGGCAGTGATTACAAGCCCTGGTGAATACTGTAGTAAACTTCTTTGTAGCAAATCTCGTGTAGCACCAATCAAGACCATGACTATTCCTAGATTAGAACTATCAGGATGCTTACTCCTGTCCAAACTTATGCAAAAGGTTTTAGAAGCTTTGAAACTCAAAATCAATGACGTTAAGCTCTGGTCAGATTCAAGCATTGCTTTAGCCTGGATCAATACATCACCACATCTTTTGAAAGCCTTTGTGAGTAACAGAGTCTCACAAATTCAACAACTTACTTCCAACTATCAGTGGGGACACGTGTCTTCAGAAATGAAATCAGCCGACATCATTTCCAGAGGATCAGACGCTACAACTCTTGGATCTAGCAAGCTGTGCTGGAAAGGTCCTGATTTTTTAAACAAGGACAATTTTCAAGATAAAAATGGACTTAGTGATGAGCTTTATTCTTCAGAACTGAAACCAGTTACGATTTCCTTGTTGACTTTAAAAACTGATTCATTCTTTGATGGCTGCCTAAAAATAACTAATGATTTCTTGAAACTAATACGAATTCTTAGTTTACTTTTCAGATTTATCTACAACTGTAGGAACACAAGTGAGAAACGAACAGGTAGTATTAGTATAGATGAGATGGAGGTCTCAAGAAATACACTCCTTCATTTTATCCAAGGTAGGTATTTTGCAGAAGAAATTTCTTTGTTGCAGAAAGGTCTACAGATAACATCAAGAGGTAAGTTAAAATATTTTGATCCCTTCTTAGATGAAAAAGGTCTGATAAGGGTAGGTGGTAGGATAAAGAATTCAAATTTAAGTTATAGTCAAAGACATCCCATTATTTTGCCTGCCAAGAATAAGTTAACTGAACTTATATTTATTTATTTTCATGAAAAGCATTTTACTAATGGTCCACAATCTTTATTAAATTCTATTAGACAAATTAATTGGCCCATTAATGGCAGGAATATAGATAGAAAGATAGTCCAAAACTGCATAATTTGCTTTATGTGCTATTGATTATTGCAGCCCATTTTTGATCAAGTACAAAGGGCAACGCCAAGAGTAACTATCATAAGATATATGTTTGTATTTTTGTTTGTATGGTGGCAAAGGCAATCCATCTAGAGATTGTCAATGACTTAACCGCAGAAGCATTCATTGCTTGTCTGAAGAAGTTCTTTGCCCGACGAGGTAAACCAGAAAAAATATTTAGTGACAATGCAAAAAAACTTTGTTAGTGCAAATACAGAAATTAAAAAATTAATGAGTATTTTTCTAATGCAGAATGAAATTTTCTAGCCGAGGAAGGTGTACAATGGAAGTTTATAACCCCAAGAGCACCAAATTTTAATAGTCTATCTGAAGCAGGAGTAAAATCCTTTAAATTTCATTTTAAACGAACAGTAGGAAATTCAGTATTAACCTACAAAGAATTTTTGACAGTAACAGTTCAAGTAAAGGGAATCTTAAATTCTCGCCCTCTTACACTGTTAACTATTAATATTGATAATTTAAATGTTTTGACCTCTGGTCATTTCCTTATAGGCCGACCAATCAATTCAATAATTGAACCCAATTTAACAGAAGTAGATAATAACAGACTTAGTTTACGGCAAAAAACTACAAAAATGGTACAAAATATATGGAAGAACTGGACTAATAATTACTTGAGCACTTTGATTCAAAGAAATAAATGGATGATTGCTAAACAAAATATTAAAATAGGGGACATGGTAGTGATCAAGGTAGAAAATCTTCCTACCTGAAAACGGTTGTTAGGGAGAATTGTACATGTGTTTTATGGGAAGGACAACCTTGTGCAAGTTGTCTCCGTCAAAACCAAAAATGGTATTTATAAACGAGCAGTTACTAAAATTGCTGTACTGCCAATTGAGAAATAATGTATGAATTTCTTATGTTTATTTGAAGGTTTGAATTGTAATCCATCATTATTTGTTTTCACATTGTAATTACATGTATTATAATTTGTGCATTAATTTACATTGTATCATTTTGTATTATATGAACATTTATTACTTTTTTGAATTTTACTTATTGTATCGCAATTAATATTTCAACGCCAGGCGGGATGTTCGGTGTCTGAAAGAGTATTGCTTGGCAGCATTGTTTTATGCCAAGCAGAGTTCGGCTTTAGAGTAACCCTACAGTTATTTCATTTGTGCTTTATTAGTATGTATGATTTTTGACTTGATGTTAAAGCATATGGTTGCTCGCTTTTAGCTAAGTTACATAGGTAACTATAAGCACATGCATGTGCTAGTATTCAATAATGTTGTTTTTGTAAAAATAAATTTGTTATTGTTAATATTACAGTCTACTTACTGAAGTTAAATTTCATTAAATAAGTTGGAGCTATCTTTGGCAAGAACAACGATAATCATGGCAATACTCGGTCCATACTCTGGAAAGAATGTCCAGTGTAAAATTTGCAACTGCCCGTGCAATTTGCTCCTTTTTAAGATCAAGATTATTGCTTTCTTTGCTACAAGCATTAAATCCCCAAGGAAAAAAATCTAGTAGGAGTAAGATGAAGATTTCTTGCTGACTGAGGGATAAGAGCATGTATACCTGCGTGAAAATCGAAAGTTGAAAATTCATTTCGTATGTTTTTCACAAAGTGACGTGGTGTTGCATTCTCTTGAAAGAAGATCTGAAACTCAGTGTATAAATATTAAGGTTGTAATTAAACTTTAATTCATACAACTGCAACCGTCTTTAGTTATTCTACTGAAGAACATTCAGAAGACAAAACAGTTTTGCAATAATAAAAGCAAATTCGTGGAAATTTGATTTTAAACTGTCATACAAAAATTATTTCAATACATACTTGCACAAAATTAAAAATTTTATAATTTTTAGTATATCCCACTAGTGGCCAAATAAATAGGTATGACTGCTGACAGCAGGGGGTCCGCAACACTCAGCTAACATTTACATCAATAAAAAGAATTGTAAAAAATATCCTGTGGAAAAATTTTGATTTATTTGAATGAATTCCAAATAAGAAGTGGAGGGATTAGATTTGTAATATCCCAGACTCTCACAGATCCTTTGCAGTTGTTTGAAGACCGGACATGATTGTCTTGTCAAACATCCGCACTGCACTGGTATATACGAGTTCTTTGTGTACTTTAGGCAACTAGAATTTCAAGATGGACAGAGATCATTTGCTAAAATGTTCTTCATTGAAGAAAGAAAACTTATACAGTCAATACTAGCACGCTAGATAGTTGACGCAATTGACATCCAAAGACTATTATTATTAATGCTTAATGTAGTCATTTGTTATTCCAGCTTCCAGTTTTGATGTAGTTATTGCTATTGTAATGAAGTTAATTACTGTTTTGTTTTTGTGCACTTCTATTTTTGCACTTTTCTATGCTCCAATCTCAATGAGGTTTAATCAAGAGCCTTTGCAATTAAAAAGAAAAAAAAAAAAAAAAAAAAAAATTGAAGGACAAACATTTCCCCAATTTAGGTAAGAATTTTTTTGCTTAAAAACATATTCACTGAAACTTTATTCTCATACCATATAACAAACACATTACAGAAAAATGGATGAAGTAAATACATAATAAAATGCATTCACAAAGGAAAAAAAATGCCCAAAATATTTTAAATTACATACTTTAAGTCATTGGCTAAAATTTCTTCACAGAGCCTTTGTTCAATTTCTATATGGTTCCTGAAAGACGAAATGAGAACTGAAGTTATGGCATGGTAATAAAACATGTTTGTATTTACACATTTTTCGAAAAAAGATGTCAAAAACTGTAATCTTAATTCTGTAAAGTCCAAGGTTTGAGGTGACAAAACAATTCAGACTTTAATTTTCTTACAAAATTTTAATTATGACTTGGTAGCAAAAAATTGGGGGGAGGAAGGAAGATATATCAGACCAAACAGTTTTATTAAGATTTTTTTTTATGCTCTCGCTGACCTTGCTGTTCATCGGTCTGTTCTTAAACTCATTCTTGCAAATGTAATTTTTGTCTTTTAAACTTATATCATTAAATATCATTATTTTTTGCACTTTTAACGCATTCAATTAAGAAGCGAAATTACAAATTTTTTGAAAGAAGTACATTTTTAAAAATCCTAATGCAGCATTAAGTGTTGCCATACAACTCCCTATTTTTCAACTTTTTCTCAGTTTGTCATAGCAGTGTTCAGTTTTTTAATAAGAGGACTTTATGAAATTTTTTTTTTAAAGTTTTCTTAATTTTATTACTAAACATCACTTTCTTCCAACTTAAGCTACATAAAATTCAACAGCAAAATCAGTTTTTAAAAGCAGCATATGTTTAGGGTTCCCAATACAGTGTTAAGTGTTGTAATTAACTTTCTCTTTAGATGCACTTTGCATTATTTTAACATTTTTAGGGGTTTGAAGTGCAACTACTGATAGAAGAAAGGAGAGTTTTTGGGTAAATTATTTAGGGGAGGGGCCACAAGATACCAAAGAAGCACTTGCCTATCGAGCATTAAACAGAAAATTTAGAAATCGGAAAAGTAAATGTATTGTCTTTTATGTACTAATTGTTCTTTAACTTTACTCAAAAATTTCTTTTATTGCATAAAAATAACTTCCTTTTAATCCTTATAGATTAGTTGCCAAAAGATGCCACAATGGATGCTGCTTACTATTACAAAATAGTGAAATGTTTACACAATCAACCTGGAATATTATCTTGGGGCATCTTTCTTTTCCAATAAATATCAAGGCCACATACAGCAGCTAACACTTTAAACCCTTGACATACAATGACGTCTATGAGACGTCATTAATTTCATGTGCCACTGTAGACTTTGACATCTCCGAGACATCAAGAATTATCTTCGGTGAATGCCGCGTACTATATTATCAGATTCTTTAACTGTTTCAGTCGTAGGTCGACGATTTTGTTTAGATTGCTTATGATGCTTTCTCTCAACAGCACCGATAAACAAAATCACATCGCCAAACCAGTAAAGAAAAAAAGCACAATGAAAATGGTAGTCAGTATAGCAGTGATCTCGCATGCCAAACACCACAGAACATATTTGAATTTAGTAAAAATTAGAAATAGTCCTTTCAACATGTTTGAGTTGAATGTATTACGTTAAAGTAATGATGAAAGTCTATTATGGTATTCTAGTGATGGTGATGAGAATGAAAATGATCATCAGAAGGTATATACTGTTGAGTATTCTAGTGAAGTTGGAGAAAATCTGCAATCATAAACGTGCAAGACCTATTTCATGTAGTGAAGATTCTGATGTAGCAGAGGATGAATAAAATTAGAAAGAAAAAGAAAATATTGTGAATATAAAACAATTTACTGGAACTTCCAGTATCAATTGTTTAGCTCTACGAAGACTGGATATAAATGCAACACCTCTGTGTGTTTTCAAACAAGTTTTATGTGATGATTTTTTTAAAAATGATAGAGAAATGAATAGATATGCAGCACAAATCGAAATGGAACAGAATACAAAAATGAACGAGCAGTGGTATCCACTTACAAATGATGAAGTTAGAGCATATTTTGTGTTATGCATTATAATGTTGCAGATAAAAAAAATCTAAAATAGACATGTATTGGTCAAAACGAAAAATGTTAGAAACACCCATATTTTTACAAACTATGCCTCGTAAACATTTTTTTGGTCATAATGCACTATCTTTATTTTAAGGATAATGAGATGATTTTTAAAGAAGATGGTCAGTCCATGGTAGATTACCTAAATACTAGATATTAGATCATGAACGTTTGACTGAATATTGCAGAAGATATGCTTTGTATTTGTCCCTTCCGAAGTATCAGACACGTGGCAGACTGTCACAAAGTTAATGCCCAACTTGGTTACAACCAAAACATTGCGTACGTTTTCCCGAACATACACCTGCGATAAATAAAAAGCAACAGCCTGCAAAGAGATGCCATGTGTGCATGAAACATACGTGAAACAACTTCACAGTGTAAAAACATGTCTAGTACATATTCCAAAATGTTTTGAGATGTATCATACTTTACAAAACTACTAAATTATTACTTTATGGTATTACTTAATTACTGCACATTAACATTATTATAATGTATATAATTTATATATCAACCTTATTGAATGTTATACAGCAATGTAAATCTGAAAATAGAAAAAAGGTTCTGTTTCTAAGTTTGCACATGAGTGTCCACAGTTGAGCCAAATTAATTGATACTCTTTGGACGCGTCAACGCATATATTTCGAGGGGTTAATATACATCTGTTAGTTTAACTGGAACGTGCTACCCACTCTTTGTTTACAACCTGTAATTTTCAGAAGTTTGGCCTAATGAACAGACCTAGAAGAGGAAGCGCTTTATGTCAAACATCGAAAAGCAAAATGTTTCACAGCCAGCATAATTCTATACTCCAAAGGAACTGAGAGCCTAATTTATCTATGGGATTACTGTCTTAACAACCAGTGAGAATAAGTCAAATAAAAACATTTTCATCACAAAAAGATTACAATACAAGAAATCCACTTATTCACCAAACAATTCATATATTTTTATAATTCACAATAACTAAGACTATAATAATTACAATAATTAACAAAAAATTGACTATGATAATAAAGATAAATGCATACCCTAATTGCATTTCTTCTTTGGTAAAACTAATTTCATTTTCTGCAATCCCATGCAGATACATACAGTCCTACAGAAATCATGAATATATATTAAACTACAATGACAAGGCAATGCACAATGACATATATACCATACAACACACACATTTTTAGGCTCATAAATAACAAAATTTACACATAACTATAACACTTTTTCATTAAAAGTTTCCCATTTTAAATGTGTAGAGAAAATAAAATACTTTTATGACAAATGTAGTAGATGCATTAGATAATTATATTAAATCTAACTGGAAAAGTAATTCAAATTATCATATGCAAGTATTAATTAATAACGCAGCATATATCCAGATCCAAGGGTGTTTGTGGGGCCCCAAAAAATCCCCTGAAACTTTTACGGACTTACTACCCACATTTTGGAGTTTCGAGAAGGGGGGAGAGAGAAATGAAAAATTACAATTATGAAGTATTGAATGACCTATTTATAAAAGTTCAATGAATTACTTTTTTTGCAAAATTAATAACCATAAATTTTCAAACATATAAACTACTACATTTTATGTAAATATATTTTAAATTACCTGAATTAATTCTTTAAAAAGAATTATCTAATTTCTGCTGCTTTTTTTATTTTCTGATGTTTGTGGGCTTGTTCTTTTGTGGTGAACTTCATAATTGCAGGAAGGTTGACTTTTATTTTCCTCATTACAGTTGAAGAAATTTCCTCGAGAACTGCACATGCAGAGGGTAGAAGCAGTTTGCTTTTCTGCTAATGTAGAAGGTTTTTCAGAGACTTTTATAGGTGACTCATCTGAAATACATGTTTTTAAGTCCTCTTGATAGGTTTTCCAAACTTCTGTTCATATTCAGTAAAGATCTTTGTGAATTGGATCAGTCATTGGATTTTTTGAGCCATATTTTTCACATGAGGTTTCTTTAGAAGCTATAAAATCATATTTAATAGTCTGCACTGCATCTAGGGAATCAATCTTAGGAGAGGTTCTATAGTCAGTGACAAGTGTATCCATTAAGTTGAATGCACTTTCCACTAATGGGCCATGGAAGCAGCTAAGGCAAGCTTTGACCAATTTAGCGTATGTAGGATACTTATAATCATTTGTGAAATCATCTTTTAAATTAAAAACTTTAGACCAATATTTATCAATTGTACACTTGACTTGATTTCCACTTTCATCAGATGTGTAGAAACATTTCTTTGGTGATATCAATATCACTCTGGTATAACCTTATTTCAGCTTCTACTTTTGACTTTTCATTATCACTAAAAATATGAGACATAAAAGATGATAATTTTCAAAAGCTAATATTGTACTGGTTTTACGTCTTAGCTCTGGATCTAATGCTGTAAAACTAATTAGATATGAATTTTTAAGGGGTAATTTCGTTTCATATGCTGTGCTGTATAGTATAAGCTTTCATCATAGAAATTTGGAATTCTTTGCTATTGGATGATTTTTGATAATTTCTTCAGGAGAGCGGAAGCTTCTGCACCAGTAAATATTACTTTACTAGGTAGATGGAATTCTGGATTTGTGACATCAACCTTTAATAAATCATTATAAGATGTGAACTATATATTTTCTGGCTTCATAAACAAAGAGAAATATTTTGCCATCAATTTATAAATACTGGAATGTATTAAATGAAGCATTGGTTTTTTTGTTTCAAATAATTTAATATATGTGTTGAACTCGGGTAATACTGCTGAATATAATGCCATATGCAATCAAGTTTCGTTTTGCATAACAAATAACCCATTTTTTCCGAGCTAAAGCATCCGTTGTGAGTTGTTGGGAATGCAAGCAAGAATACACCCCTTCAACAATTTTTTTCTGAGCTGCAGAAATATTTCTTTGTATGTATACAGTTTCAACATAAGAAAAATAATCCCCTTTATCAGTTTTATCCAAGTAGTGAAAATAAAATGCAATAAGAGCATCCCACAGATCTTTGATTCTTTCTAAAACACATAAAATGTACACCCACCTATGGTCTGGTCTCTTCAAGGGCTTTAAGTTTTTCAATGGCAAGGGATTCACAGATTTTGAAAAAATTTTCTCTTTTACTGCAGCTTTCATATCAAAATAGATGTCATCAAACAAATCTTCTAAGTATTTATCAAAATATGAAGCAAATTTTTTTGCACAGTTATTAGCTGTGTGACATGTGTCACCATCAATATCTAATAAGTGGGGTGCTTTGTTTGATCGTAGTCTGGTTTCAACACCTTTTTTTTTTTCCACGCATGGTGTTACATGAGTCCATTAATACACTAATTAAGTTTGCCCATGGAATATTATTATCTTCAATAGTATTAACAACTTCTTTTAAAAAAGCTTCTAAATTGCAAGATTCCATCTTTAGAGATGCAAAATGATGAACTACAATTTCATTTTGATTGTTGTCATAAAACTGCACCAATATTGCCAGTATACTTTCTTGAACATTGCTAGTACTTTCATCTAAATTTAGAGAAAATGGAGTCTCCTTTAAAGTTTTAATGATATTTTCCTTAATAGTTTTTGCGAGCCCATATTCATCTTATAAACATGCAGTAGTCCTGGACATTCCAACGAGTTTAGTGCCGTCTGATCGCGGCTCAACTGTTTGCAGAGTTCAATTAAATTGGGAGCTATATTGAAAGAAAGAGAATTCTCGGCAATAAACGAAGTTATTAATACCTCTTGGCGAGCTTTTCTTGTCACTATATCCAATGGCCGAGCATCAGTCTCCAGTAAGTCATCAGTATTTTTTGAATTAGCATAATTACTTAAAAGTCATTGAATGTCTAATGCACTTTGAATATTTTATGTGCGTCACAGTTTTAGAATGATTTGTGAAAGCCTTGAATCCTTCCCCACCATACTTCAGCAGTGAGTTACAAAAACACAATATGCTTGTCCAGCAACATTAATTTTCTTGCACCATGTCCCGATGGTATCCCCATTACCATCTCTCCATTCAATCCAATTCCACCTAAATGCATTCCGGACACCTTCTTCTAATTGTATAATATCACTATTTATATCGAGAAATTTCATAGTGAAATTCTCTCGCGTACATAAATAAAAAAATATTTCAATAAACGAAACGAAAAATTTACACATGCATTCAATAAATGAAACGAAAATTTTACACAGCGGAGAAAAAAAAAAGTTGAGAAGCGATCAATGACAAATAGCTAATACAGCGAAAAATCCCCCTTCTCTATTATTGGCGCCACGCCAGGAGAGATAAGACCTTTGAACCCAGAGTCACGTGATCGCACTTCTGGTCGAACGAAGTCTCTCCCTTTTTTTCTTGTGCCGCGCCTACTTGCCGAAAAGAATCCAGAAGAGAATGTCCGAGAACCGGGGGAATGAGTCGTAACTCGCAATACGGAAAGAACAAAAAAGAAGTTTTCCCCCCTTTTCACGCATTATCACTGCCTTTGGAGAAAGAAAGGTAAAATTTTCACCACACACACTGACCTTGTGCTTCTCTGCTTTCAAAGCAAACAAAATTACCCAGATCAAAATAAATAATTCATTATTATTCCTACTTCCTTTTGAACGACGATCCCTGGAATTTCCGGGTATCAAAGTTCAAAATCCCCGGAATTTCGGGGTTTACCCGGAGCACAAACACCCCTGCAGATCTAAATTTAAATTGTCATATTTTAGTCATATTTGTTTAAAATTTTTTATTTTTGAACACTTCACACAGTAAACACAATTTCGATTTATTTTGGTCCCATTTTTTGATAAAGAAAAATAATTTGTAGAGTATCTTATGCTAATTAAATAGTTATAATTTTGGTCTTTTTTCGCATTCCTCCCCAGAATGCAAATTAGTTTTTCAAGTATTTTAACTGAGGATTTTGGATCTTGAGAGGCAGAGTGTTTCTGTCATTGTGTGCTAGTTTCTGCCAGCTCTAGCAATTATAATTATTCAGTTTTGCGATTTCTCCCTGCCGATAATTTAAATCTGACATGTCAGTACATTACTGAGCCTGCTTCTAAATTTGTATTTAATTGTGCTGCTAGACTATTGCTAAATGTTTAAATTTACTGACTGTTCTTAATTTCATTTGTAATTCCACAAGCTGTGGTTATTTTAGCACAAAGTCATGCTTTTATGTTCAGATTTCTGTTTAAATAAAAAGGTTGCTTCTATAAACCTTCCCAAAACTTTATCATTCTGATGAAGATGATGAAAATATTACAGTTAGCCAAACTTACATTTTCTAAAAAAGTAAATTCCAGCTAAGTTTCATAAATGATCTGTAACTTTTTGACTGATAGTATATAATAAAACATAATAATAATATAATATTTAAGAAAAATCTATAACATGAAAACAAAATAACATACATACACATGAAAAAAAGAAAAACCCTTAAAAAGATTTTGGCTTTCCCCCCCTTTTTTTTTGGGGGGGGGGAAGAATTTGAAATATATTTTAAATGTTCAAAATCAACTGAAATTTTTAATTCAGACAGCATGAAGAAGCAATGATTTCTTTTTTGCCACCTTTCTTCTTAAAATATAAGTAAATAAAATAATTAACTTAAAATACAACTGTAAGGCACAATTGCATAAAGCATATATTAACAGTTTAAAATATACTGGAAGTGCAACCTATGATACCTAAAAATAAAGCCTATAGAAAACTTACTTGTTTCGTACATTGAACATTCTTTAAAAAATTACTACAGTATTTTGTTGTTCCCATAGATACTTTAATAGTTCGGCCTTCCACTTTTGTGCCTATTAAAGTTTTTATAGCTTTTACTGCATCTACTTTGTTTTGATATGTTACATATGCACAAGCACTCGCTCCCTGCAACAAAAAACATGAAATTATTTAATACTTAAGAAATAAATTTCTAATAAAAAAGAATAATTTATAATAGTTAAGATATTATCCCCTCCCATTTCAGTGGCCTAGCCATCCCTTCGGATTTTGATATTTTTTTATTATTGTCCATAGTCTTATTTATGGTCCACTATTTTAATTATTTTTCTTTAAAAAAAGCAGGCACTGGAACACAAACAAAATACCAAAGCATCCATGAACAACTGAAAAATGTCAACCAATAGTCAAACTATATAATGCATCAAAACCCCTAAAACTATTACGATAGTTTAGTACACAATGATGCTAAATTCTTTCACACTGGTTACTAAAACCAAATTATCACATCGTTAATAATTATCAAATTATCATGTACACTGCGTAAAAAAAAAAAAAAAAAAAAAAAAAAAAAAAAAAAGACAGTTTTATAGTTCCCATTCTACTGGGCCGATTGACGAAATTTTTATGGTCCTCTAGTAACTTTCCCATGTCTTTTATTATTAACTTAATAGTCCATGGTTTTGCCTAGAAATGTGATGTTGTAGGTAACAAAAGATGTCTTAAGAGTCAAAATGCTGTCACTCTCCATGCGTTTTTTTTTCTTTTCTTTTTTTTTTTTTTTTGCCATGATTTCAAAATCGTAGTTTTCTAATTTGCTTGCTGCCTGGTTTTCTTATCAAGAGTTAAGCAACATAAAATATTAAAATTATATTTCGAGGAGTCTCTGAATTTTAATTAGTCCAGAGGCACAGGCTAATTCAAAACACCTCTGACAACTATATGTTGCTGACTTGAATGTTCCTAACTCCAGACATTGCCATCAAAGTGTTTCTTTTTTTTATTATTTATTTTTATTTTATTTATTTTTTGAGATAATTGTGAACTGAAGAAATGTTCATGAAATAAAGAGCTCCAGATCTAAGATTACTCTGTATAAAATCCTTTCCTAGCAAAATAAAATCCATAGGTATGTATGATCATGCTTAAAAAAATTGGCATTTGAGAAGGAGTATAAGGAATCTAGAAGGAACTCTTAGCAAATGCTGCCATTGTATGAAATCTAAAACTTTTATCTTTTATGCTTCTTCACATGTAGTAGCTTCTCATTATTGGCATATACGAAAACATAAGATAAAATATATGTGTATGTATATATATACAAATAATTTTTAAAGGAAAATTTATAATCCTTCCAAGAATCTTCGTGCTTTATGCCACTGAAAATTGATCAGTAAATATATAAAAGAAATTTAGAACCAATTTTTTACAAAGAACAAAAATTGAAATTCGTTAGCACTATATTTAAAAAAAATCTTACAAAAGTACAAATAATTTAACAAACGTTAAAACTGAAATTCTTCAAAGAAGTAAAACCAAAATTCAAAAACTTAATGAACAAAAAAGAAAATGAAAGAAGAGACATTTAATTAATTTCAATGCCACATCATCAGGAGGAGGAAACATTGAAACCAATCAAAATCTCTCTTCCATAAAAAAAAAATCCTTACTTTTCTGTTTCCAGAATTAGCTGATGAACCATTCCAATGTGTTTTAATTATAATAGTTCACCCGAAAATTCTCGCCTCTCCTCAGAACAAAGGAATATGGTAACTTTGTAAAGGAAAAACATTAAAAATATCTTCCAATTTAAGAAGATTTTTCTAATCTAAAAAGAATCTGAAATAAAAATAAAAACTTACCCTAAAAATTGTAGAAAAAATTTTCATTCTTTGTGAAAAATTGGTTCTAAATTTCTTTCTTTATATGTATATATTCAGATTTAGTCAATTTGTTATTAATAAAAAAATTAAAAAGAGGACTTTCAATACATTTCTTAATAATTTAAATTTTTATCTTATTTTTTTAAATAATGTATTTAACTGGTATAAATTAAAACGATAAGTACGTAGCGTATTCGGAAACTAAGTACCATTTCATTCTCAGGCCATCGCAGCGCTGTGGTAGGCGTCCCGCATGCGCACTAGTCTTTCTTGTTCACTGACTTTCAATTGTCGCCATTTTGGTTGCTCTATGTTGTGTTTTCAGTTTGCTGTGCACATTCAAAATGTTTAAGACAATTAGTTCTCCCGCTCCCGCTGACTGTGAGATTCGTGCCGTGATTAAATTTTTGAACGCGAGGAATGTTAAACTGGCCGAAATTTATCGTCAAGTGACAGAAGTTTATGGTGAATACGCGATAAGTGATGGAATGGTGAGAAAGTGGGTAAGAATGTTTAATGCAGGTCGAACAAATGTCCACGCCGAGGCTCGGAGTGGTCGGCCTTCTGTTGTCACCGATGATTTGGTAAGGAAAGTTGATGAAGCAATTCATGAGAACAGACGCTTCACAATGACAACTCTTTCAGAGGCATTTCCACAAATTTCACGTACTGTTTTGTTCGAAATTGTGTCTGACCGCTTGAATTATCGCAAACTGTGTTCCCGATGGGTTCCAAAAATGCTCACTGATGTTCACAAAACAAAACGACTTGGTAGTGCCCTGACATTTCTCTCACGCGTACACAGTGATGAGGGAGAAAACTTTTTAAACCAAATTGTGACAGGTGATGAAACTTGGGTGTGTCATTTCACACCAGAATCGAAACAACAATCGATGGAGTGGAGACACACTCATTCTCCGAAAAAACAAAAGTTCAAAGTGACAATGTCATCACAAAAAATCATGTGCACTGTCTTCTGGGATAGGAAAGGCGTTTTGCTTACTGAATTTCTTCCCAGAGGTGAAACCATTAATGCGGCACGATATTGTGAGACTTTAACAAAACTAAGGCGTGCCATTCAAAACAAACGAAGAGGAATGCTCAGTAAAGGAATTGTGTTGCTCCATGACAATGCTCGGCCCCATACTGCTGGTGTCACTCAATCGTTAATTCGACAGTTTCATTGGGAGCAGTTCGATCACCCGCCGTACAGCCCGGACTTGGCGCCGTCCGACTATCACTTGTTCCTGCACATGAAGCGCGAGCTTGGTGGCAAGCGCTTTGGATCTGACGATGACACGAAAAATGCTGTGGAGTCGTGGTTATCGAAACTGGCGGGAAGTTTCTTTGACGATGGTATACAAAAACTGGTCACCCGCTATGACAAGTGTTTGATCATTGGCGGAAACTATGTTGAAAAATAGTTTAAGACATGTATTTTCATGTAAAAATAAAATTGGATTCGAAAAAATTGTTTTACTATTTTTTTTTTTTTTTCAAAATGGTACTTAGTTTCCGAATACGCCTCGTATATAATATGTTTAATATTACTCAACTGATGATTTATATGAAAATTTGCATCTTCATTGTCATTAATAAATAGATTCTATTGCCTTATGTTAATGTTACTCGTACAGAATAATTTTTTAAAAAAGATTGTTAATAAATTTTGTTTAAAAATATTTTAATATTTAATAGCTTTTAATTGTAAGGCGTTCCTTTGGGGTATGAGGCTGCATTCTGCATTTTTCAGATTTCATTTCTTTTAGATTTTGTATGTTGTAGATCTACAGATAATTGCATTTAAAGATTAATTTAATGAGCAGCTGATCAGTAATCTCAATGTACACTGTGCAAAAAAAAAAAAAAAAAAAAAAAAGGGGGGGGGACAGTCCTATATCTCCCGATCTACTGGGCTGATTGACAAAATTCAAATTGCGCTCTTCATGTCTCGAAAGCGCGACTTAGGACATGTATTAGATTTATATATAGCTCTATTCTAACATAGTTATTTCGACACAAAATTGGACTTTTTCTGAAATAAAACACCATTTTTTTTTTTTTTTTTTTTTTTTTTTTTTTAATTTAGATTCTATGACTCAAATTATGCCTAAATATGAAATTTTGTAAAATTTGGGGCGAAATATACAGAGAAATTCACAAATTGGCGCTTTTTTTTTAGTTTGTGCCAAGAATAGTTCACTTGGCAAACTTCTTAATATATGGCAACCTAGTTTCCTTTCCCGTGAGCGGAAAAAAAGTTACAATCATTCTTTTTTTCAAATAATATTCATTATATTAAATTTTTAATTATAATTGTAACTGTTTTAAGTAATTTTTTCTTTTTCAGATTTCATTTTAATTGTTTAAGTTGCATGGTTTCTTTCGAATAACTGTTTTAAAAATTTTTATTTACCCATTCGAACTGCGTAGTTTAAATAAAAGGTGCATTGTTTATTTTTTTAAATAATTTTCTTTACATATATATATTTGTCATAGTTAATATTTTAGGTATTTTTTAGTCCAAAGGGACTTTGTCCCTGAAGGACTATTGTTTTCGTTTTGCGATATCGTGTTGAATCACTATAAATGTCCGTTTCACTTTTCAAACTGTTGCCACCAAATGGCATTATATTTGAAAATGCATTATACCTACTGTGAATATGGGCATGTGGAAGCCCAAATTTGGAATTTGTTTTATTATCGGTTTCATATTTTGTAAAACTTTAACAAATTTTTGGGTAACAAACTAAACGATTTGAAAGCGAACCACGGCAACAATCTACAGGGGGGAGCCTTTTTCGGAACGGAAATTCTAAAGATAGGCTAATTGTAAAATTATTTTGCGACACTGATATTGAACAGAAATTTATGGTTTAAGTGCGAAGAACATGATATTTAATAAATAAAGGCAACACACAAACGTTGTAAAATTGCCCCTTTCGACATAATTTAAAAGTTGAAACCTTTCAGAATTTTTTTTTTTTTTTTAATCTTAGGCTTTTATTTTAATTGTTTGTGTTGCATTGTTTCTTCAGATAATTGTTCTAAAATTTTCTATTTATTCATTCGAATTGAGCATTTTAAATATATTTATTAATAAAAATTTTCCAGGATTTTATTTTATTTATTTGAATTGCGTTTGTTTCGGAAGAATGCTTTATGTCTCAAACTATGATGCATCTGAAAACTGAATATATTAAAAGAGAAAATACAGTAAAGCACGGTTAACACGCCTTTCAATGTTCCATTCAGAAAAGATATATAAATGAGAAATAGCTGTACAGATATTAGGTATTTTTTGGAAGCAGATGAGATGAAAAATTAGCTTGTTGTAAATTTAAAAATTAGATGTCTTCGCTGGGATTTGAACCGTGGACATCTCAGTTACGCGCTGAGCGTGCTGACACAAAGGGTCGCTAAGAAGACGGGAGAAATATATAGCTTAAACACTGTGCTCATTGCTTTACACAATTTTATCATTCTACATTTAGTTTCTTAAAATGTTATTCATATTTTAGTTAAATTTTTAAATTTGATTCATTTTCATTTATTTTAAATAAAGTTATTTATTGCCTTCCATTTCATAAAAGCCCAAAAACGCCCGAACGGTAAAGTCGCTAAACACGTTCGAATCCCGGCAAATGGGCGTTTTCACGGCTTTTCTCATTGTAACGTGTATACCAGCTGGTTCCCTTCAAAAGTTCTTCAGAAGGCACCTGCTTTTAGGCAGATAGCCCTGCTTTATCGTAACTTAATAATCCAATTCAATCCATTTTATCAGTATTTGGTTATAATCTTTATCAATCTTTAGAAGCTAAGCATTTTGAAAAATGAGATGAAAGGAAAGACTGGTTTCATGACATCCACATACATCACTGGATAAATTCCTGAATATTCAAATAATTTGAATAAGAAATCATGGGATTCTCTGTTTATGATGATATGATGTTCTATAATGTAATTTAAATTTATACATACAGTCGCTCTTCACTTTAATCTGCAATGATATTGTTTTTGTCTTTTCCGTTAGCACAAGCTCATGTGATGGTATTTGCATTGAAATTAATTAAATTCCTCTTCTTTCATTTTCTTTTTTGTTCATTAAGTTTTTGAATTTTGGTTTTACTTCTTTGAAGAATTTCAGTTTTAACATTTGTTAAATTATTCTGCACTTTTATAAGATTTTTTTAAAAATATATTGCTAACTAATTTCAATTTTTGTTCTTTGTGAAAAATTGGTTCTAAATTTCTTTTATATATTTACTGATCAATTTTCAGTGGCATAAAGCACGAAGATTCTTGGAAGGATTATAAATTTTCCTTTAAAAATTATTTGTATATATACACACACACATATATTTTATTTTATGTTTTCGTATATGCCAATAATGAGAAGCTACTACATGTGAAGAAGCATGGAAGATAAAAGTTTTAGATTTCATACAATGGCAGCATTTGCTAAGAGTTCCTTATACTCCTTCTCAAATGCCAGTTTTTTTAAGCATGATCATACATGCCTATGGATTTTATTTTGCTAGGAAAGGATTTTATACAGAGTAATCTTAGATCTGGAACTCTTTATTTCATGAACATTTCTTCAGTTCACAAATTATCTCAAAAAATAAATAAAATAAAAATAAATAAATAAAAAGAAACACTTTGATGGCAAATGTCTGGAGTTAGGAACATTCAGGTCAGCAACATATAGTTAGTTGTCAGAGGTGTTTTGAATTAGCCTGTGCCTCTGGACTAATTAAAATTCAGGGACTTCTCGAAATATAATTTTAATATTTTATGTTGCTTAACTCTTGATAAGAAAACCAGGCAGCAAGTAAATTACAAAACTACAATTTTGAAATAATGGAAAAAAAAAAAAAAAAAGAGAACGCTTTTCTAGGCAAAACCATGGACTAGAAGTTAATAATAAAAGACATGGAGAAGTTCCTAGAGGACCATAAAAATTACCAATATGGAACATCTACAGTAAATTTCAGAAGAGCAACAAATGGTGTTTGTGGAAGAAATGCCTTCAGGAGAATAAGGGAAAAACATTTTCTAGTTCTCTAAACTTTTTGAAAAAGGAGGTACGATGCAAAGTTCTCACATACTATATATCACCATGATAAAGCAGCAGCAAGTTACTGCATAGGCATTTTCAATGACAATGCCACAAATTTTAGAAACATAGGTAATAACAAATCACATTGGGCAACTTTTCAGTGAAATTGAGGCTCTATCAGAGTTAAGAAAGATGCTTAAAGAGAAAGAAAAGATAAAAGATGCCACCTAATTTCACTTACCTGATGTTTTATGGAAAAGGATGCCTAGTTCAATTAATAACATTTTCCACTTATGTTGTCTACTCTACCTTGGTACAGATACAGTAAAATTTAAATTAAGTTTTTGTCTATTTTATCTGTTTAATATCGTGATTAACATTTTGGTTTTATATTTAATGATTTCTATGGGTTTTGTGTCATGAACTCAGTGGAGTAGCGAGCAAAACTGGCGCTCGGGGCAAAATACCTTTTTAGCACCCGCCCTTCCCCAAACAAAACACAGTGATATGATGAAAATCTTGTTTGAAGACCATTTGGCGCCCTTCTTTGAGCGGCGCCCGGGACATCATACCCTCTTTGCTACGCCACTGCATGAACTTTAGCACAAAGTACTGTTGTAAAATTTAAATTAACAACCCTTTGTGATTCAGGAACAAATGAATGCATTTCACCTTAACATTTCGGTTCATGACCTGCTCTTGGAAATAAATTAAACTCATAAACCATGGTTTCATTGTATATTAAATTAAAACAACACAACTTACTGTAACAAATTTTCTAAAATGATGATTAGTCATTTGATGTAAATTTTTACATCTTTTTGCACAGAATAACTATTTGTCCAACATCTAATAATATTTATCAGTTTTGCAGAAAGTTTTGCATTTAAAGATCAATTACAGGACAAAGGAAATCAAAGGAAAGAACATTTATATAAAAAATAGTCAAATCCCAACCAAGATATATTGATGCTTTAAAAATTAAGATTAAAATATCTATAAATTGACCAACCTGATTTCCAGCATAATTCGTCCGCTCATTAACCATACACTTTAGAACAGGACCTATTTGTTTAAAAGGTTCCATGATTTTTTCAAATTTTTCTTTATCAGACTCAAGCCCCTGAGGCAGACCAACGATGAACACCAAATTCTTTTGGAGCACTCTGCAATGATAAACTGGAATTTTAATTTTATTCCTTTTTTGTGTAAAAAATTCAAAACAATACAAATCTTTAAAAAATATAGTCCTTCTAACAGAAAATATGATTTTCAAAACTTCTAGAATTAAAGTTCACTAAAAACTGATAGCTTAAAAGTAACACTTCACGATACACATCATATTAAGAAATACAGGTACTTCATTACCACAGAAGTCTCCAAAATTTAATTGCTAAATCAACCGAGATGTTACATATAGTGAGGTATAAGAATACATGGCAAAATTTCGGCAAAATATCTCAGTCAACTAGCAATTTAATCTTGGGGGCCACTATAATATTGAAGTACCAAAATACACTGCTGGTCATTAAAACTGCTACACCATGAAGGAAAGCTGCTAGCAGAAACATATTTATATTACATTACAATGAAAGGATGGTATCATTAGAGTTTCAGGTGCAGAATGTGCAAAAAACAGTATCTGGAGAATCTGGAGTGTGCAAAAAACAGTATCTAGACAATAATATGGCTGGCTGAAGGATGTAACAGTTATGGTTCATATAGCTTCAACTGTATGCAAAAATTCGTCTGTCATACTAGCTGGTGAGTGGTGATGTATCAAGCTCTTATTGATTAGATGTTTCCAATTGATAAAAGATCAAGAAAATATTGCACAAGGCAAGAGTCAAATGCCTCATGTATAGAGAAATACAGGACAAGGTGGGCAACATTTGACCATGAACTGTCCTGTCGACTTGCAAAGCAACACAGTCCTGAAAATATGGCACAGATTTTAAAATCAGAGATTCATCCATATAATGGAAATACAAACTAGAATTTAACAGAAAGTGTACTCAATGGCACTGTATACCATCTGTCTAGGTGCTCCATCGACTGCAAATTTTCAGGACAGTGGATCTCTACCAATGCAAAAGCAATTGTGCAATACGATAATCTACAGTCCCAGCAGATGATGATTCTTCCTCATTCAAATTCTAAGATATACTGTTATAAGGTCCTTTTTTACATGAGACATAACACAGCCCCACAGTCAAATAAAAAAGTAAAAATGATGTCCATATGAAAAATTGGTCAGTCAGTCAAGCTTTTTGTACTGCTTCAAGGTATCATCATTCTTGCTTAAGTGCACATGCTACGAAATATTAATCATTTGCCAGTCTTAGTATTTTCTACATTTCATGCAAATTTTATGTTTGTTGTGCATTTCTTTCATGACGTGTGATTTTAATGCAGCGGTGTAAGAAAATCTACATATCTACACTCCTTAAACATTTTATCATTTTGACTCGTATAAGATTATTAGTAAATACAAAAGACATTTTAAAAATTCATTACATATGAATTATGCAACCTATAGAATATTTTTATATACTCAAATTGAATCAAAATAATATTTTTGCAAGTAGGGGGTGTATTTTTCACAAATGCTTAGTGTTCCATCTTTACTGATATGGCAGATATTTATGTATCGCTGCAGGGATTGACTTGGTTATACTGGAAGGCTGCCTGGTGACACAACTGAATGGAAACAGTGATGATTCTCACTTTTAACAAGATTAATTGTCCAGTGCATTATAGTATTTTTATGAACATCTCAGTCAAAACTTTTTATTAGCAGATTAAATTTGCTGGATAATAGCAATCAAAATTTGTTATGAACATGGTCAGGATGCAACAACAAGGATGCGACAATGTGATAATACAGTGACCAACCCAATCTTAGTTTTAGTATACTAATTTTATTAATACTTACTTAACTCTTTTTATTCAAGTTTAGGTATTTATCAACATTTTCTGTACTTTTTCTTATTTAATTCAAAATACATTAAGAAATTGTCTAAATTTAAATAAATATGTATGTTTCTCTTTTTCAAGTTTTGGACAGAAGGGGGAGGGATGATTGTTAAGAAATGGTGAAAGGCTTGCATGAAGGGGAGAGTGGCCTGTATAATTAAAAATTATTACATTATTATTCATTCTTTCTCGTTTAATTAACTCTAGCTTTATTCTCATTATTCTTTAAATTCCTTTTTCCTGTTCCATTGTAACTAAACTCCATTCTAAATTGGAACTTAAAATATAACAACTCCAAATGCAACTATGTTCATTCATTTTCTCCAAAATATTGTTGCGTGCGTATGGGTTCATAATAAATTGAATGCACAAGTCCGATAACGAGTGAATAAAATTTATTCTTATCACAACAAATAAAAACAAAATGCTTAAATTTCCTTAGAAATATTCATACAATATCACAAAATCTCACAGTAACTACCCTGTGAACTACTACAAATGTTCAACAGAACTTAATTAAAAATAGAGAAAGCTAATCCGATTTCACAGCGAATTCGCTACAATAAACAATGACAGTTTTCTAAACAACTTCTAAAACAACTGAACTAAGATGTTTTCCTCCAGCTTTAAATATGCAACAGAAACTTCTCATTATTTTCTCGATTTTTCTGGATATTAAAAGAATACAATTACGAGATATCTATTTATTAAATGTGCATGCTTCTGTACTTTTAATTTTTCCAGTGTAGCTTTCTCTTAAGTCTCATGCTGCATTGCACGGTAATATAAAACAATTTTAATTTTATTAAAAAATATCTAAATCAATACAAAAACCGTAACAATATTTATTTACATTAATGATAAAAAGATACAGAATTTAACAAACAAAAAAAATTATTATACTTTACAGATTGTAACTCCCACCCTTTGGAAATACATTACACAAAACTTCACAGATTAACTGTAAGATTAACAAAATTAAATATTTTTATTTCTACAAAATAATGTTTTGTAGCAAAATGAAAAAAACTGGATTTCCTTTAATTTGCATAAACCAATTTCGGCTTCAATGAAAACAATTCTTTTGATAAACACCTAAAATTAAATAAGTATGCTTTAATTTTTACAGCATATTAAAATTTAATGTTACAGAAAAGTTTATGCTAGAACAGAATCAGAATGAATTTTATTACCTTGAGGCTGCATAATTAAAGAAAATGTTACATTACTTTTGCATTTATCATTATGTCAACCACACTTAATTAAAAGATAATTAACCACAATTAATTAAAAGGAAAACAAAAGTTACCTGCGATCAGCCAGATTTTTTTTAATTTCATCAATTTTCTGCTTTTTCTCTAAATCTTTTTTCTTTTTCCGATTTCTGATTTTCAGCATTCTAAAAGTAACAAATTGTGTGAAAATTATAAAACAAGAAGATACACTTAAAACTTAAATTTAAACACTTAAAATATTAAATAATATTTCTTATGACAAATGGGGAATACTACTAAAAAAATAAATACATAAAATAAAAATTCAGAATAAGTTAAAGTCAATACTAGTAACAATAATTATATTCTAACATTTAAATTATTTCTATACAATAACAAAGTAAAAAACGATGAAAAAAAGAATTTAAATATCTCTACTCACTATATCCCACTGCGACATTTACCTACTAAGCAGCTTGCACTGCACGAAATACTTCTAAATCATGCGTGTATGTTATTAGAGTTGCACATTTTACATTCATAGAATAAAATAATAAATAATATCTATCCATCACAACAACACTATAGAAATTCTATTAAGTTTTTCCAGCATTCTGATATCTTTTATGGGCATTTAAAATAAAACATTTCATTTCGGCATATCAAATTTAATACAGTGGGCCATCAGTAACACTTCACTCCTATATCACATTTGATAAAATGGGCCCATAGACAGACACTCAGCTGTATCATACGATATGCTGGGAACAAAGAGATTAAGAGTCAGATTATAAGGTATTTCTCCCACTTTTCTAGAGTGCCTTCGTGGTGTAATGGTTCTGCACACTGGGCCGGTATTCCAGAGGTCAGTGGTTCGTTTCCCGGGAAAGGTGTTTGCTAATTTTTCATGTCCTCCGGCTTCCAAAAAAATACCCAATGTCATTACAGTGGCGCCTAAAGTAAAAGGATGGTGGATGATGATTTCTTCCCACCCAGGATTTGGCGATTGGGTCCCCTAACAACCCCAGTCACCCTTTAAAAAGGGACGTATATAAGGTATTTCTCCCACTTTCCTAGTGTACCTTCATGGTGTAGTGGTTCTGCATGCCGGGCCGGTATTCCAGATGTCCGTGGTTCGATTCCTGGCAAAGGCATTTGCTAATTTTTCATCTTGCCTGCTTCCAAAAATTCTAATGTCTCTACAGTGGTGCCCGAAGTAAAAGGGTGGTGGATGATGATTTCTCCCCACCCAGGATTTGGCGATTGGGTCCATTAAAAACCCCAGTCACCCTTTAAAAAGGGACATATATAAGGTATTTCTCCCCCTTTCCTAGTGTGCGCCTTCATGGTGTAGTGGTTCTGCATGCCGGGCCGGTATTCCAGAGGTCCGCGGTTCGATTCCCAGCAAAGGCATTTGCCAATTTTTCATCTTGCCTGCTTCCAAAAATCCTAATGTCTCTACAGTGGCGCCTGAAGTAAAAGAGTGGTGGATGATGATTTCTCCCCACCCAGGATTTGGCGATTGGGTCCCCTAAAAATCGCAGTCACCCTTTAAAAAGGGGAATATATAAGATATTTCTTCCACTTTCCTAGCGTGTGCCTTCATGGTGTAGTGGTTCTGCATGCCAGAGGTTCCGTGATTCGATTCCCGCGAAGGCGGTTGCTAATTTTACATCTCTCTGGCTTCCAAAAAAATACCTAATGTCTCTTACAAGATAAAAAAAAAAATAGTCACATTAACACTTGTTGGTTTGTAAATATTATAATCAGTGCTTGTACACTGTTATAAAATTTGTATTATCTGCAAATAGTTTTAATGAAATTATATATAATTCTAGTATTTCTTGTATACTGTAATTAATATGAAAGGTCTCAAGAATGGAAAATATAATGCCAGAAAAATAAGGTTTCAGGGACAAGTACATTTAACTCTGAGGGAAATTACTATCTCGCAAAACTGGCACCAAATAGGTGATGGTTTTGGCATCTAATTTTTGTTACCAATTTTAGCGAGAAATTGTCAAAAATTGCTAAACTTGGTGACATTTTTCATCATTTTGGTTTGATTCTGGTAAAACTATAACTGTTTATGCCTTCTAGCAATTTTGAGAAATTGAAAACACTAGAAATTTTTTGCAGGTCAGGGAAAACTATATAAGACTGGAATAAGCATTCGTTCTCAGTCTGTATCAGGCTAATGCCATGCTATGCATCACTTGCTTGGAATACGTCAACAAACAGTCAAAGTCACAAACTACAAGTCACGCAAAACAAATTTTGATGAATTACTACAGATGCATGTTATTTAGTCAGGAGCACTGCACTCCATATGGATCTTATAACTGATGACCTAAAAACTTATTTACACAACAGAAATTACAAATTACTTAACACTGTAAACTACCTGTGACTTTGTTAATTGCTCACAAATATTCAAAAGTAAAATATCACAGGAAGCAGGGTTCGTACACATTTCTGCACACGGCAATTAAGTACTTTTAAGGACTATTCATGAAAAACTTAAGGACCTATAAGCAAATGGGAACTGAATAAATTCAATTAAAATATTATCTATGCTGAACTTCTCTTTTGTAATACCATCCTAAAAATAAAATAGATCCACAAGTAGGATGCATTAGTATTAAATATAATTATTGTAAGTTTGAGAATAAAATAAAGTTTATGAAATTTATCATTAATTAACTCATACTAACTGGACATATTTGAAAGAAGATAAGTGACATTTTATTTAGGTTTACCTAACAGTTAGCTTTGAATTTTTTTTTTTTTTTTTTTTTTTAACGTCTTATTTTGTCACACACTTGCTCACTCTATGAGTTTAGTAAATAATAAGTAGATTTTATGTCAAGTGGCATAGGTTAAAGTGAGAAGTAAAATCACAATCAGCATGATTCAAAACAAAAGACTGGCTGTTGTCGCCGTTCCAGCTTGTCTAGGAGAGACCTGATGATCAGAACAAACCTTAAGGCCTGATGTAAGCACGGTTCGCAATTTCGAAAGTTAGCTGAGGTCTGTCTGACGCAGTTAGTGTCGTAGTTTCTTATAGAGTTCAAGGGATTGTAACTCAGTTAATATAGTTTAAGGTCCTAATAATCCACTAAAGCACCAGAGGTGACAAGTTGTTTTGCGTTACTTTAAGTCTCAATGGATGCGAAGAATAGATTTTACATGAATTTTTACATTTTTGTGTTTTATCTTGTAACCACGATAAGGGTTAATGAAAGGCAATAACTCGCTTTAAAATGCAGAGATAATCTTTAAAGGTAACCAGTTATTTATAAGTAATTAAACTGGGTATTAGATAACCTTAGTCATTATGGATTTATATGGCCACTATTAAATTTTATTTATTTTTTAACAATATTTGTTAAAAAAGCCTTATTAAATCACAATCTAATAAAATTTCATAGTTTAAAATACATGTAATTTATGGCATTGATCCTTAAATGATATTAGGCTAATTACACATTAAAAGCTACAAAATATTTATATTTTGTAGCAACACTCAACAAGATATTTATGAGTCTTTTTAATTTAAAGCCTTCCCAGACATTTTGGCGAATTTATATCAATTTCCTTCTCTTTAAGCATTTTTTCTAACAGTTAGAACTTTGTATCAATATGCAAGACAGTGTTCTCTCTGGTTTCTACATTTTGTATCTGCTAACCTGTCAACCTCTCCAAAATGTACCTATGAGGGTTTACTTGATCTGGTAAAAGTTAAATAGTCCAAAACCCTCCGGACAGATGTGAAGCAAATTATTGCTTTATCTGAAAGTAACTACAAAGATTTAAATAAGCTTCTTATTTAAAAAGAAGAACATAAAGCATGTTCTTATGCTAAAAAAATCAATTACAGCTATGGTGATGTAATTAAACAAGAAGAATCAAATGCAAACTAAAAATATGGACTTGTCATCAAAGATTATACAATTTAATTTCATTTTAAGCTGACTCAGTAACTCTATTGTCATAACAAATTCAAATGTCGGCAGCGGTTATATAAAGACGAATAATTGCAAATTATCAGGGCTGGCAGAAAATAATGCAGGGAACAAGTGGAGGTCAGAAACACATTCTTGTCTCACACTCCAAAAACCTCAGTTTAAAAACTGTTAAAGTGATTTGTATTCTGGTGAGAAAATAGAAATGGGAAATTATAGTAAAGGCTGAAATTGTAAACAACTGGGTAATTTACATAATAATATCTGTACATTGCTTTGAAGAATAATTTTCCTTTCTCTTAATGTATTCAGTTTTTTCTTCCACGTTTCCTTTTCATTTTAGAGTTTTTGGATTTAATTAAAGATTTCTGTTATTCTAAAAATACTAAATGCATTTAGAATGTATAGAGAAAGCTGCTAATTTTATAGTAATAGGAACATTCGGAAGAAATATGCAATATATATGGTAAGGTCCAGCTACAGAGCTGGTGTGGCAGAATTTTTTGAATTTATTCACACATCGAGCAACAAAATCTAGAAATGTGAAAACTTTTAGAATTTAGAACAGGCATTGGAAGCAAAATTTACAAAGGTACCAAGCAGCACAATTTAGTGTGTATGATGCATTAAGACATATTAGATGAATTGTTTAAATTGTCAGTTTTCAATTTATTAATAAAAAAATTATTTTCTATAATGCCTGTCCATGTGATAAGATTAGAAGCATTTTTGATATTTTATGCTTGGGTTTAGTGAAAAAAAAAAGAAAATAAAGGGAAGATAAAAATGTTAAGAAAACGATTCTAGTATCATAACTAAAACATTCAACTATTATGGTTTTATTGCTCTTCCAGATGTTCTCCAAAAAGTAAGAAATTATGTATTAATACCATGGAGACATTTTTCATTTTGCCACATTTTTCTGGAATCTTCCAGAATAGTGAGTCTTGCCTTCAAATCTTTCTAAACTTTCTAAGCTGCAATGTCTATAATCCTAAAGAAAAATTACCTCTGCCAATTCAGTAACAGCAAAAAGCCAGAAATATTTTTTTAAAAAAATTGGATAAAAGATGTGTAAAATTAATTTTATAGAGAAAACTGAGGCATATCCTGAGACAATTACATGAGGAAACTCTTACCAGGAAAAAATTAAAAAGAAATTTTTAATTAATTACATAGCTATTTTGCTTTTGCTAAGAACCATTTCGTAAATTGTGCTT